GGGGTGTCATGTGAAGTTAGTTCTTCAACACACAAACAGATGTGTGGTGATGGTGGTCCAGGATGTTCCCCTCACTTTCACAGGTGGAGCAGAGAGGAGCACCGGCTGGATCCTATGAGGACGTCTGTTACCGGGCAGAAACAGGCTGCTTGTTGATTGGTCGGCCGATCTGATGGACAGTAAAAGTGGAAATTCTAATATAAATATTCCTCCAGAAGTGTAAAAGGGAATAACAGCAGCAGCAGAGGCTCTGAACGTCTTCATGATGATTCAGCAAATGAAAATGATTCCATGTGTGTGGAATCCAAATCAGAAATGAATCCTAAATACTCTGTCCCTCTGTCTGCTTCCTCTTCTTCAGCCAGAAGGCTTCTCTCTTCTTCCTCTCGTTGTTCCAGCTTCATCTCGGCTCCTTCAGGAGAGCTGAGCTCCAAATGTCTGTCTTCTTCTTCATTCTCTAATCTCAGTCTGCTGTCACACTTCATACACTTCACAAACAAACCACAGGTCTGATCTGGAACATTTTTTCTCCATCTTTATTGCTCCCTCACATCTGGGTCCTGAATCCTGAAGCTGGTTTAACTGAGTCTGGGTCTCTCTGGGTGATCTGGTCTCACTGAGTCTAACAATGGCCGTCCTGGATAACCAGTATCATGAAGCGGCTTATGGACTGGCTCTGTTAACTCTGGGTTTATTAGCTGAAAGTTAAAAAGGTGTCCATCTCTCTTGTCTGCACACGTGTGCACTGTGTTGGTACTAATAAAGTCTCACAGTGCAGAGCAGCATGATCCTCTCTGTAGCTGTTACTTTAACAAACACCTACACATGAATAATTATAGGTTACTGTATGTCCAGCTCAGAGGCACAGGATCCTTTCTACTGGCACAATGCTCTCTGCATTTATATTCATTGATTCTGATTGTGAATTCGTTATTGAATAACCCAGAATATGATCACGGCGTCTTTGGATTCATTAGACTAAAGGTTGAAATGATGTAACTCATATTTAAGACTACTTTAGCTCCGTTTTAGGCTTTCTGTTTATTTCCTCTTCTGATATCCTTTAACACTACTCCATACATTTTATTTGCTAGTAAAATCACTTGTCACCGATCGATCACTGCGTTCCATCATATCAATCCAACAATTTTTTCCCCCCAATTTCTTTCACCAGCAGATTTTATCATTCAGTTGGATGTGCAGGCTTTTTTTTCCATTTCCTTGCTTAGTAGAAACTTTAGTGCAGTTTAGTGACTTGTCCGACTCGTTAGGCTACGTGTTTACTATGTTTTATTATCATCCATTTGGTTTAAACACGGGAATGATCAGCCGCACCTGTGACTGAACAGAAATGACAATAACAAATTAGAAACTTGAGAAACACCCAATTACAAATAAATCTTTTGAATTGACTGGTGCAGACATTTGTCCAGGAGGTGGCAGCATTGTACTGTGAGGCACTACTCTGACTCATTCTTCTAGTAAATGTGCATTTAGCACAGGCAGAGCTCATACACCAGAGGGCTGTTAGAGAGTCTGACCCAGAGAAACAGAGAAGACATTTAATGCTAGAGAATAATTGTGGAGTCCAACAGAAAAGCCTTTCTCAGCCTTGAACCACAGTGGAAATCCTTTCTCACAGGAAAGCATGAAACAAAACAATCTCACAGAAGGTCATTATATCAAAACACTGGTACACTTAGTGGGAATTATAACACCACATAAGATGAGCAAAGAACATAAGGTAATGACATATAGAGGATTATTAAAAGTACAGACAGGTAAAATCTATTCGTTTCTATTATAGTTCCCTCTTTGGCCGTCACATGGTCACATTAAGTTTATAACAAAATGTCAGTTCATCAATGAATGCTCTCATCTTACTGTTTAAGCAGACACATCATTAGTAGACAAAATAAATGAGCTTCAGCTGTTTTTGTAGAACAGAGATATTCTTGAGTAGTGAGCAAGCTAAGAGATCAAAACATATTTAATTTAAGCAGTTTGGTCAAAATCATCAATGTTGTCAGAGGTGGATTCAATCAGGTGAATCATTTGACATGTTTCTCAGGAAGGAGGCAGAACATGAAGTGACTTGTCATGTCCCTCAGACTGATATATTTATAACGACGAGGAAAACAAGAAAACAACACACAAGCAACATGACAGCGACATACAGCCGCTGTAAATGCTTTTTTTTTTTAAATCGCCACATCTGTTTGTTCCTTCTTTCTTTCTCTCCAGCAGCTGTTACGACCCGGCTCGTTAAGGAGGTGCGACAACTAACTAATTAACCAAGGACAGCGCTTGCAGAAAGAAATACAACAGAAAGAGGCTATACAGGTGCTGACAAACATCCAATACACAAAATGAAACAAAAGAGGGTCTTGTCCAAAGACAGTCCTTAGTACAGTACTCAAAATACACAAAAAACCGGAAAGGTCAGCTTACAAACCTTACAAATTACAAAGGAAGAAAACAATCTAGCTGTTATTCTACAAATTTAGAGGTCTCAAACTAAAGCGTGTCCTACTCTTGGTACACTAAATCAAACTAGGCGATTTACAAAGGTTCCAAAAGCCACTCAGACAGGCAACAGAAATACAAACTCTCTAAATACTCTCTAAACTAACACAATGGTTATGCAGCGAGGCGAACTAATGACTGGTTCACAGCCGCCCTGAACTGTGAACATGGGGTGGTGATGGTGCAGTGGATAAGGCTCATGCCTTTGGTGTGCGAGACCCAGGTTTGATCCCCCACTGTGACCCATCCACCATTGTGTCCCTGAGCAAGACACTTAACCCCTAGTTGCTCCAGAGGCGTGCGACCTCTGACATGTACAGCAATTCTAAGTCGCTTTGGACAAAAAAGCGTCAGATAAATGTAAATGTATCAGTTTTAGAACAAAACCAAAGACTTATAAGCTATGTTATATAGTAAACATGTTTAATCGGTTATTAAATAAGTTACAAGTTGCCTGTAAGTTGTAGCAACCTGTCAATCACAAGGTAGTCCCGCCCAAAAGCATACGCTGCTTTATGTCTATTTTCCTCCGAATAGGACCAACATTTACTAAATGAACATCATGCTGGGTTGAAGAAGACTTGAACTAGTGACTGAGACCATAAACTCATCAGGAAAGTTTTTACTGAGGAGTTTTCACCATTATATCTAATGGAACCGGACTTCTTTTTGAAACCAGCGGACTCGCCCCCTGCTGGCCGTAATATAGAACGCAGCTTTAAGTTCCGTCTGCATGGTTTCACTTTCAGACCCAGAGGTTGCCGCATGATTGAGATTAGAGAAATAACATTTGACAACAACGTAACTAGAACTCTGGATTGGACAACAGTGTGCGCTATGAGCTGCAAAACAACTGCAGGATGTTGAGTTTTTAATTATATATTTATACTAATGTTTTTGCGTCGAGTTGCTAGTTCAACTGTCCTGATGTTACTTTTTACAGGCCCCAGGCCATCGGGCCACCGTTATTGTCAAGCCCTGACACAGAAACAATACTTCATCAAGTGTTGAGATTCATTCTTGAATAGATGTGCTCCAATCAGGATTTTTTGGGCCGATCACTAATCACTGGGTCTATTTGAAGCCTTTGATTTATCATGTAGCATTATACAATATAATTATTTAAATGGTCCTAAAAACAATGTATTAAGTATTAAAATTAACATGATAAAAAAATCATGAAATGACAATTGTTTGTTTTATTGGCAGGAAACATGGGCAACAAATTCCACTCCCTCCTTAAACCACAGCAGCCTTTGCCTGCTTACTGCCAACATCTTATAGCTTAACAAATACAGCTTTCCTGTGGAATAAACTACAAAAACAGAACAAACAGCATCTTTATAAATTTACTTCAACTATAAAAACTGCAACAAACTACAAACTGTAGCCAAAATATTTAGGAGATAAAGGAGCTCAGGCCTCCTGAGTCGATTATAAAGTAGCTGGTTTTTGTTCTGGAAAACTCAGTTAGGCTCTGTGGGCTTTAGGGGGGAGAGAGGAGCAGAGAGAGGGAGAGGGGGCTACAGAGGAGGCATAACGTTGTAGCTGTAGCAACGTTTGGAGCTACCCTAAATTCCTTTCTCCTCCCAAGAGAAGATGGGGAGGGGTCAAAGTTGCTTTCTCTAAGTGCTATCCCGACCATAAAACTGGCACCTTTTTGATTCCGAAGCTGATAACGCGGGGCCTGACTGTTAAACTGACAAAGGGACACGAGCCAGCCATTGGCTTTTCCCTGAACAGCCTATCAAAACTGGCCCCACCACACACGTTTCCGTGGAAACTGACCTTATTCTTTGTTTTATTACCACATCAAAGGGATACTCCTTGTCTCACCTAAGTGTGACATTGTCCAGGACACTGAACTTTCAATGTAAAAGGACTGCAGTCTCCAAAAGACTCAAAGCATTTAATTAAATTTAATTAAATCTTTAGTTACCTGAATATGTTTGCCTCTATTTGAGTAGTTATGTTAACTGTTGTTGCTATCTGTTGTTGATATTAGTGCTGAAAAGAAGTTACTTGTGCAGTGTTTTTATTTTCAGCACTACACTCCTTCATCTAATGTAATCAATGCTTGTTCATAATACTTTCTTACAAAATCCCTTTAGAAATGATGACAAAGAAATGTTTTACTATACTCTTAATCGCCAGCTTGAATTTAAGGATGAATCAACAATATTCCCCGGTTCCTAAGGAGAGACGATCTTTGATTTAATCCAAGCTTTCCTCATGTAACCTGAGCTCCCCCAAGTGGACGAAATAAGTATTACATGCCCTCATCGGAAATGCGGTTAAATGTATAAAAATCCTGACCAATAATGTGACAATTGTTTCCTGTTACCAAATGCCTAGAACAGTACAACCGTTCAACCAAAAATGATTTTATGAATCTTAAAAATTCATAATTGGGTATCAATTCTCATAAATTTATTAAAATGCATAACTAATAAATTTAGGTCTACTACAACGTCATCAATGAGATTTGAAAGTAACGGAAATTTAAATAAAGTACAATGTTAATTCCATATTATACTGTTAGTATATTGTTAATATTAGCCCACTTATAGTTACTATATTCATTATAATTTCATATGGTTTACCACTAGTATAGGCCTAATATTATTTCAGTGGGTTATTAAATCTATAAATCAAATTGATGTAATCAGATTATTAAATCCTTGTGCAAGAAGCACAGTCTACATCTTTTACAGGCCTATTGCCACCTGCTTTACCAGAGGAGAGAGCAGCAAACACTTTCAATACGGCCAGCAGGTTTTTATTAGATTTTTTTATTAGTAGAGAGAGGAGTGGGTTAATGTTAGGCTACATCCACTCTACTATGTTTTTTTAAACCGTTTTATAGCGAATAAGATCTTCTCCCTCCACAGCAGCGTTTTAGCTGCGTATCAGAGTTGATCTCCATTTATATTAAAACGACTGAAAGCACGCGTGGTCGTTCACTGGGCATGCACAGGCCGGGGTGTAAACATGAAGCAGATCTGCCGCTGCAAAAAACTTGGCGAAAGAAGAAAGTAATACAGTCGAAGAACCACACAGGTATTCGTTTTTGCATTGACCGCCAACGAAATAGAACTGAAAGTAACAAGAGTAGCCTACAAAGAGAGAAAGCAAAGTAAATACGGCAACACGCACAGTACAAGTGTTATTTACACAGTAGAAAATATCTAAATAAAAATACAAAAAATAAAACTCTGTAGCATCGTGTTTTGCATGACTGATAAGATTGAATCAGTTTTACCCATCAATTCGCCATTTTCATCTGGACGGAGAGGGAAACGTAGCAAAAGGTCTCCGTTTTAAAACGAAAACGGAGACAGAGAGAGGCAGTCAGCTGATTGAGTGGCGCCTCTCTTTTCATCATGAAACTCACACTGAAGGATCAGTCTCTCTCTGCCTGATGCTCTGTGGGTCAAGACAATTAAACTCTGGTAGCGGGCGGCATGTGTGTGAGATAAGCACGACCGCGATAGTTTGAAATGGTCACTCCTGCTTGTTGCTCTGCTTGTCTGATTGTTGCTAAACTCTTTATAAATGATTAACTGGATGCTTCACTAGCTTCCTATCTGAAAAGGAGTTTTAGGGAACCATTTTAGCTGCCGTTGAAAATTTGTCCGGAAAGTATTGCATCATCTGATCGACTTTTGTGATCTGCCTTTTTAGAGACCACTGATCAAACTATTTAAAGCCATTATCGGCAGATTACGATCGGTGACCGATCGATCGGAGCACACTTATTATTACTACATCTGTGATAAATTAGTGAACATCACATACTACCTCTTTGTTGGAGCTTTTGACCACATCCCATGGCCTTCTTAAAGAGTCACTAAACCCCCAAAGCTCTTATTTCAGCTGATTACCAATCTGCATGAGTATTTAGTAGTGTTATTAATGGATTCAGGTCCAAATCTTGACATTTTTCTGTAAACTATGTGAATTCTACTTACAGTACCATAAAAATTGAAATCTGGCTACTGCAATTTAATTTTGTTGTTGGCTGATAAAACCTCTGGACTACTGCTTTCCAGCTCTTTCCAAATCAAACTTCCTCAGCTGTCATCACATGACGTTAGTCCAGCACAATCGCATGATAACAGGTGGTTGTATTCAGGGCAGAAGGAAACAGCTAGCTCGGCTCTGTGAAAAATGTCACACTGACGCTTTGTGAATGGATTTATGTCTTCTAAGAGTTCTCCTGTTGGTATTAGATTTGCCACATTGGCCACAACTGTACGGTTTCTCTCCAGTGTGAACTCGTTGGTGGAGTTTTAGGTTACTTGATTGAGCGAAAGTTTTCCCACACTGTTCACACCAGTACTGTTTCTCTCCAGTGTGAACACGTTGGTGGAGTTTTAGGTTACTTGATTGAGCGAAAGTTTTCCCACACTGTTCACAGCTGTACGGTTTCTCTGCAGTGTGAACACGTTGGTGGATTTTTTGTTGATTTGATGTAATGAAAGTTTTCCCACACAGTTTACAGCTGTACAGTTTCTCTCCAGTGTGAACACGTTGGTGGATTTTTAGCTGACCTGATGCAGTGAAAGTTTTCCCACATTGGTCACAGCTATATGGTTTCTCTCCAGCGTGAACACGTTGATGCTTTTTTAGTTGTCCTGATGTAGTGAAAGTTTTCCCACATTGGTCACAGCTGTACGGTTTCTCTCCAGTGTGAACACGTTGGTGGATTTTTAGGTAACCTGGTGCAGCGAAAGTTTTCCCACACTGGTCACAGCTGTGCAGTTTCTCTCCAGTGTGAACACTTTCGTGGCTTTTTAGGTTACCTGATTGAGCGAAAGTTTTCCCACACTGTTCACACCAGTACGGTTTCTCTCTAGTGTGAAAACGTCGGTGGATTTTTAGGTGACCTGATGTAGTGTAAGCTTTCCCACACTGGTCACAACTGTACGGTTTCTCGCCAGTGTGAACTCGTTGGTGGATTTTTAGGTAACCTGGTGTAGCGAAAGTTTTCCCACACTGGTCACAGCTGTGCAGTTTCTCGCCAGTGTGAACTCGTTGGTGGATTTTTAGGTAACCTGGTGTAGCGAACGTTTTCCCACACTGTTCACACCAGTACAGTTTCTCTCCAGTGTGAACACGTTGGTGGAGTTTTAGGCTACTTGAGTGAGCGAAAGTTTTCCCACACTGTTCACACCAGTACGGTTTCTCTCCAGTGTGAACACGTTGGTGGCTTTTTAGGTGACCTGGTGTAGCGAATGTTTTCCCACACTGGTCACAGCTGTGCGGTTTCTCTCCAGTGTGAACACGTCGGTGGATTTTTAGGTGACCTGATTGAGTGTAAGCTTTCCCACACTGGTCACAACTGTACGGTTTCTCTCCAGTGTGAACTCTCCGATGAATCTTCAAATTTCTAGATGTTGTGAAGGATTTGTCACAGTGCTGACAGCGGTGACATTTGAGTCCCTCTCTTCTTCTCCTTCCCTATATCAGCAGAGAGAAACACAGTAAGTGAGATGTAGATGTGGAGCGAGCTTTCAAAAACCATAAATGACATTAGCGCACATAGTGAGCATGTACTGTATTACATACTAGGGCTGGGCGGTATATCGGTATATAATGACACACCGTTTATACCGAGATAGTTTGATGTTGAGGTGATTAATTTGTTTTTGTAAAGTCCTGCAAGCGTTTGCTCCTCTCTCTCCCTCACTGCGCAGCCCCGCCCCTCCTTCTGCGTCTGCACTCAGCAGTCTACTCACAAACTCTCAACAAGATTGATTGAGACAGTGCTGGTTCAGTCAGTGTTTCGCACACATACACTTCCGCGGGCCGCCCAGGTTAGACGCCATACTGCTGCATTTATCAGAAAAACACGTAGACTACGTCGTCAACACGCCTCTTCAACATGCAGCTGCTGCTGTTTTCTTTTTGGTGACTTTATACAGCCTAACCTACTACTGATGGAGAAAGTCAACGAAGCGGACATACAGGGAGAGAGAGAGACGGTAAAGCACCTTTTCCACTGCAAGGTACCACCTCGACTCGCCTCGACTCTAGTCGCCTTCTTTTGGTTTTCCTTTGTGTAGAAGTTGTACTTGTACCTGCTACCAGGTACTTTTTTTCGTATCACCTTCGTCTTATCTGTCTTTAGATTCTGAGTAATGTTGAAACGTTTTAACTGAAATCAAGAGACAGCTGTGTGTGCGTTCCTAACCCTTCTACTGAGTTTTCAATCAAACTGATGATATTCTGAACACAACAGCATTCCTTCATACAGCGAGCCCTGCAGCCTCCGTTATTTTAGGGAGAATATCTTAATTAACGGGACAGTTCCTTAGATGTAGCCCATCTGTAGGATACAATTGAATTATCCTAAATGTTTTCACATATTTAGATTGACTATTTTATGTGTCCAAAAAACATGGAGCCCGGGTGAGGGTTAATAAACAGAAAATAAATCCTCAAAGCGCTTTTCGACCAAAAGTACCCGGGACTTTTAAGTCCCCAGATCTCTTTTCAAGGAACTAAAAGGTTCCTTCAGCCCTGTTGTGTGCGTTTCCACCGTGGTCTAAAGAACTGCGAAGATTAGACAAATTAACCAGCTGACGTAGGCTGTAGGCTGTAGGTCATACAAAGTGATGCACAGGCATCATTATTTGTAACCACTATACATGAGCAACATTTATAAATGAACATCAGATTTGACTGGAATATAATGAAAAACTACAGGCTGTGTTTGACCATTAAAGCAGCTTTTTGTGTGTCGGAGTATAATGACAAGACACGATAAAGTTCGTTACACATTTAATAAAGCCAAGTTCTTAAAATAACTCCAGCACAGAGAAAGCAACACAAAAATAAAATCGCGGCAGTTTGGAAGGTTATTAAAACATTTCAAGCAAAAAGAGCTGCAGATCAGCTGCAGGACTTTAGATTTATCTTGGAAATTAAATTCTGTCCCGGATTATTCCCCCTCTCCGCTGGCTCATTTTTTTCCTATTACAATGGACCTTATGTGCAGCTGTACCTTCAGAGATTTGAACTACAATAAGAACACCGGGAAGATAATTTACTTAATGCGATGCCAACAGGCCTCCCTGGCTTTGTCGGCCGCCATGATATTAGATTAGCCGTTAACTTTTCTTTGCAGTCATCCTATCCTGACACAATCAATGTGCATTCTTCTGGAGAAATATGGAGCATGCACCGTTGTGAACAAAACCCTTTTTATGCGAATGCGCACTGTTTGTATATACACTGCCCTAAAGGATTATTAGGAACACCAGACTAATACTGTGTTTGACCCCCTTTCGCCTTCAGAACTGCCTTCATTCTACGTGGCATTGATTCAACAAGGTGCTGAAAGCATTCTTTAGAAATGTTGGCCCATATTGATGGATAGCATCTTGCAGTTGATGGAGATTTGTGGGATGCACATCCAGGGCATGAAGCTCCCGTTCCACCACATCCCAAAGATGCTCTACTGGGTTGAGATCTGGTGACTGTGGGGGGCATTTTAGTACAGTGAACTCATTGTCATGTTCAAGAAACCAATTTGAAATGATTGGAGCTTTGTGACATGGTGCATTATCCTGCTGGAAGTAGCCATCAGAGGATGGGTACATGGTGGCCATAAAGGGATGGACATGGTCAGAAACAATGCTCAGGTAGGCCGTGGCATTTAAACGATGCCCAATTGGCACTAAGGGGCCTAAAGTGTGCCAAGAAAACATCCCCCACACCATTACACCACCACCACCAGCCTGCACAGTGGTAACAAGGCATGATGGATCCATGTTCTCATTCTGTTTACGCCAAATTCTGACTCTACCATCTGAATGTCTCAACAGAAATCGAGACTCCTCAGACCAGGCAACATTTTTCCAGTCTTCAACTGTCCAATTTTGGTGAGCTCTTGCAAATTGTAGCCTCTTTTTCCTATTTGTAGTGGAGATGAGTGGCCCATTCTCCTCTGACCTCTAGCATCAACAAGGCATTTTCGCCCACAGGGCCGCCGCATACTGGATGTTTTTCCCTTTTCACGCCATTCTTTGTAAACCCTAGAAATAGTTGGATGTGAAAATCCCAGTAACTGAGCAGATTGTGAAATACTCAGACCGGCACACCTTACACGTTACACAGGCATAACACCTGAGCAGTGCCACAGACTGATGGACTCCATGCCACGCCGCATTGCTGCAGTAATTCAGGCAAAAGGGGCCCCAACTAAGTACTGAGTGCTGTACATGCTCATACTTTTCATGTTCATACGTTTCAGTTGGCCAACATTTCTAAAAATCCTTTTTTGTATTGGTCTTAAGTAATATTCTAATTTTCGGGGAGATACTGAATTTGGGGTTTTCATTAGTTGTCAGTTTTAATCATCACAATTAAATGAAATAAACATTTGAAATATATCAGTCTGTGTGTAACGAATTAATATAATATCCAAGTTTCACTTTTTGAATGGAATTACTGAAATAAATCAACTTTTTGATGATATTATATGACCAGCACCTGTATACACACTCACACACACACACACACACACACACACACACGGGTCATTGCATCGGTTAGAGTCTCTGGTGAGCAAAAGGCACCGTGGAGGAAAGTCCCACAGGTCAAACTTCAAAAGATAATGTGTTGAAAAGCTGAGCAGCAGTGGAGGAAAACTAAACTCCAGACTGACTCTGATCTCCACAGATACTATTTAGAGCAGACTGTTTGTCACTGTGAGAAAATCACCAACACGCGAGGAAATATAATGACCGGCCCTGTCCCAATATCCGCACTTCCACCCTTGTGCCCCTCAATACGCGTTCTCGCCAAGGGGTGCAAGACCGTAGAGTGTCCCGATCCTCTAATGTTGTTCTCTAGGGGTGATCATCAGCGCACTTAATGCACCCCTTTCGCAAGTAGGCATCAGACCTCACTTTGCTATGGGCTATTACCCAGAATCCTTGTAGTGTCGTGACGATTCAAACAGCTAACCAATGGGGGAGCAAAGCGGTTGCAATGGTGCTGGTCAGACGCTGGGAAAACACAGAAGAAAAAGGAAGCCGGCAAGAGGACAAACAAATGGAGAAGAAATTTCTTTTTTTATCAGAATATGAGCGATAAATAACATAATACATGATGATACAATGGTTTCACTTTCTTTTGTCACGGTCCGACAAGCTTACTTTCAATTTTATAAAGTTCAGGGCGGAGAATGAGCGGCTATTCACGGGGCAGAGAAACGCCCCTAGCCAGGGATATGAGTAAGTTAACACGGCCATTACATGAGCAGACAAGTTTGTTACTTGAAAGCAAGCCCTTACTTTCATTGCAAAGTGATCTAATGGATAATTGTGTGTCTTTCAGGGAAATTATCAAAATCATGGGGCTGGAGGGGAAAGTGACTCAGGAGCAGTGTAAAAAGAAGTGGGAAAATCTAAAGAAAAAGGTAACTGCACTTTCACATGTTTTGTAATGCTTTTATTTTATTGGTAATACTATTTAATGACTATCTAGAATGTAAACCCATGTAAATAATGTTCATTTCACCCTTCAGAACTATTACAATTTACAAAGGACTTAACACTGCCATAAACTGGGTCCGGGACAGATGCAGGAGAGGTCACTGCTGCCTCATGGATTTTCTATGCAGCCATGCATGAAGCCATTGGCCAGAGACCCTCAGTCAGGCCAGTCTATCTGTTCTCATCTGGACACAGTAGTGTAGCGAGAGCCCAGGCTCCTGTCAGTGAGGCCGTTCTTAATTCTTCTCATAAGGAACTGGTGGTGAGTTGTTATCAACTTTAGCAGGAGTACTGTGAATGCCGCAACTACCGTCGGCGCCATGTTTACTCTCCTGATCACAACAGAAGTGACGTACAGTGGGGGAAATAAGTATTTGACCCCTTGCTGATTTTGCAGGTTTGCCCACTTACAAAGAATGCAACAATCTACCATTTTAATCATATGTACATTCTAACAGTGAAAGACAGAATCCCAAAGAAAATTCCAGAAAATCACATCATATGAATTTATAAAAATTGATAACCATCTGATGAGGAAAAACAAGTATATGACCCCCTACCAAACAGCAAGTATTCTGGCTCCCACAAGCCAGTTAGTCTTTCTTTAAGACACAGCCCCAATCCCAACTAATTATCTACATCAAATACACCTGCCTCACCTCGTTACCTGTATAAAAGACACCTGTCAACACCCAAACAACCAGCATCCAACATCAGCACCATGGGCAAGACCAAAGAGCTTTCTACGGACATCAGGGACAAGATTGTTGATCTGCACAAGGCTGGGATGGGCTACAAGAGAATCGGAAAGCAACTTGGAGAGAAAAGATCAACTGTCGGTGCAGTTATCAGGAAATGGAAGAAGCACCACACCACCGCAAACCTCCCTCGGTCTGGGCCTCCACACAAGATCTCGCCTCGTGGGGTGTCCCTGATCATGCGAACGGTGAGGAATCATCCCAAAACCACAAGGGTGGAACTGATGAATCAACTGAAGGCAGCTGGGACCACAGTTACAAAAGAAACGGTTGATAACACACTAAGTTCGCCATTCACCACCTGGACGACTCAGAAGAGGCCTGGAAGAAGGTGATGTGGTCAGATGAGACCAAAATAGAACTTTTTGGCCTCAACTCAACTCGTCGTGTTTGGAGGGCAAAGAACACCGAGTACAACCCAAAGAACACCATCCCCACCGTCAAGCATGGTGGTGGCAACATCATGCTTTGGGGGTGCTTTTCAGCCAAGGGGACGGGACAACTCCATCGTATTGAGGGGAGGATGGACGGGGCCATGTATCGTGGAATTCTGGACCAACATCTCCTTCCCTCAGTGAGAGAGCTGAAGATGGGTCGAAGATGGGTGTTTCAGCACGACAACGACCCTAAGCACACCGCCAAAGCAACAAAAGAGTGGCTGAAGAAGAAGCACATCAAGGTTCTGGAGTGGCCTAGCCAGTCTCCAGACCTGAATCCAATTGAAAATCTTTGGAGGGAGCTTAAAATTCGAGTTGCCAGGCGACAACCTCGGAACCTGAATGATTTGGAGGCTGTCTGCAGGGAGGAGTGGGCCAACATCCCTGCCGAAATGTGCACAAACCTTGTCACCAACTATAAAAACCGTTTGACATCTGTGCTGGCCAATAATGGCTTTTCTACAAAATATTAACATGCTGTTTGTCCAGGGGGTCAAATCCTTGTTTTTCCTCATCAGATGGTTATCAATTTTAATAAATTCATATGATGTGATTTTCTGGAATTTTCTTTGGGATTCTGTCTTTCACTGTTAGAATGTACATATGATTAAAATTGTAGATTGTTGCATTCTTTGTAAGTGGGCAAACCTGCAAAATCAGCAAGGGGTCAAATACTTATTTCCCCCACTGTAGATAGTGAGCACCCTTGAACATATCACACCTGTGAGATTCTAAAGATAATTCAAAGTAATTCATTTATTGATTAAACATGCAAAGTAAAAATGTCAACATCTTGCTCATTAATGATATCAAACCTTTTTTGTTCAAATGTTTTTATTAAAAGCAGTGTATGTTGAAGGTCATGAAGTTATTGTTTTGTTTTTGCTTTTGTTTATATATTGGTATGACAATTGTGGATTTTTACTGGTATCAGTATAGAATACTACATTTCTGGTGTTGATAAGTCCCTACTGGCCACATTTCATTTTGTAGGGGTTTAACGTTAATGTGCTTAAGTCTCTTTGATTTATCACATTTATGAACCCAAACTTGTTTGACTCCATCCAGAATCATTTTCCAGATAAAAGGACTAATGCAAAGGCTTCGCTAGACACTTTTTACTGGGGCACGTGCTCCAGTATCCATGTTCTGTGCATCAGTGAAATTGTCAAGACCGATCGGCGTCGTTTTTGGACATATATGGCTCTGCAAACCAAGTTAGCAATAACTGGCAACATCTGCAATGTCCAGTCAAGTCAGCAATAAAAAAAAAAGTTAGCAATAAAAAACTACTGATTGATGTGAAAAAGCATGTTGTTACGGTTTGAAACGTTGCAAAAAGTAAGTCAATGCAAGACAGACCCAGAGATTCACTGCAGCTACACATGAGCTCTGCTCACATCAGACTGTCAGAGGAGAGAACACAAGTTTACCAGAGTGCTGTTCCCCACAGTCACTCTTATGGAGTTATTTTCTCTTCTTGTGCACGGAAGGATAGTCCCTCTTGGTCCTCTTATCACCGTTATAAACACTCGCTTTCAACTATGTTGACTGTAAAGTTGAGGACATCTACTTTAAATAAAGAAATCTTGCTCATTTTCTAATCTTTTTATTGAAATGCTGTCAAACTTCAGGACTATGCATTGATTTCTTTCAGCTGCATCACAATCATCCTCACGCAGAAAAATTATCGTTATCTTCAACATAATAACTAGCCAATAATAGAAACGTTCCATCGGTGTGACTACAGATTAGTTTGATTTTAACAGTGCTTACTGCAGTAATGTAGCCCACGGTTAGTGTTTCAATGCAACTGTTGCCTTAATGTCCACAGGGTGTTATAAAGGGAAGTGTAGCTTAAATTTCATTCTGTCCACAACGTCCAAAGATAACTCTCTGTCCATACGACAGATTTATCACAAAGGCGGTCATGTTCACGATCATGGTTACTGATCTAGAGTTCATCTGATCTTGTCTCTGAAACCCAGAGTTTCCCTCACCTCAGGCTCAACATACTGAAAGGTTTTACTAATCCTGCTTTCTGAAACGGGGCCCAGCTTCCTAAAAGAACTCCAGCACAGAGAAAAGAACAAAAACAGCAGTCAGGGGCAGTCCAACAGCATGGCCCGTTAAATAAAAGATAAAAAAACCTGTTGCGTTCTACCTGCTTTGCATAAGCTCTGACTGATTTCCAGTCGACAGCTCGTACCCTGTCAGGAGGTCGGCTCGCTGACACCTGGTGTCCACTGAAGAGAATGAAACTGCTTTATTCAGTGTTTATAATGACCGGATCTGTTTGTTTGGAGAGGAGACAGCCGAGGTGGTAATTCTGCACCAGGTAAAAACCTTCTGGACTCAACACCGAAGGAATCCTAAACCAAAAACAAGCAGCTCATTTTTCGGTATCGCATCAGCTCGCTTGGAATTCGAAGGAGGGGATTCCAAAAAAGGCACCAGGTCCCATTTTCCCCAATGGAAAAAAAGGCAAGTAGAAAGTAGTACCATGTGGTGAAAATGGGGCTTTAGAGAGAACATGGTTCCACCGTTCCTGCAGAACTCAGTCTGTCAATAACTAAAACCTCAAAACTGTTTTTAGAGAAACCTTCAAAGACTTAACTGATGATATAAAAACTCAGGGACCCTTAGAAAGCCAGAACATTTTTAGAACCGTTCTTCCAAAACCTCTAACATTCAGTAGAAATCTTTTTCATTTGCCTTTTCTTTTGTTTGTCCTGGACTTATGGGTGTTGGGTAGCTTTAGTTGAATTAAATTTTTTCTGATGGCTGTGTTGCCATCAATCAAAGAAGGGGTGGATGTAAGGCAGCTGCCTGTATAAGTCCCTCGGTGTCCCTGTTGCGCCGTCAATTCCTCAGTACATCCAGCAGTTTGTACATTGCAGGACACAGTAGTTTTAATGTACATTTGGGCAGGGCCATCATGTACTTTGCGCCACGAGTTTGAACAAATACTACGTGTGTTTTATGCCGTTTGTGAGACTTGGTAAATGCTGCCAGCATACACTTAACTCGACATGCCTTTCTTGCTGTTGGTGACCCTTGGAGGAGGCCATGACAGCCTATATTGATGCTGTGGGTTACATAAACATTAAGTACACATGTAGATGTTGCCTTCAAATTCTGTTCGGCTCAAAATTTGGAGTCGTCACCTGCCATCTGAATTTTGTGTTTCCATTTGCATGAATAAAAACATTTTCACCAGAAATTGGTGCAAAGAAATTCACCAGAATGCAGAAAATTAAGTGTTTAATGCTCAAATTTTTCAACTTACAGATGTCAAGATTCATGATAAAGACAATAACAATACAACAAAGGTTTACAGCAAAACATTGAACTTAGTAACTTAAAAATAACATAAGCAATATTGCCTTGCAGCGAATTTCTGAATGGGCAAGTACAGGCTACTGGCTTAAACTTGAGAATGTCGGGTGTTTTTCTTGAACTGGCCACCAATAAATCAGTCAAATAGTCAACAGTCAAAACAGCAGCCAGCGAGCAGCGGTGTGTTTACAGCAAACAGCTGATGGAGTTACGCTAAATACTGGGTCCAAAGTTGTTGTTTTAAGTTTCCATTTTTATTAAGATTTTATTTTTGTGTTGCTTTCTCTGTGCTGGAGTTATTTTGTGAAGGTGATGGCTTCATCCAGTTTGTTATTGAATTTGAACTAACTTTAAGCTGTCTCCTCATTATACTCCCACACAAAATAAGCTGTTTAATGGTCATGCAAAGCCTATCATTTTTCATTATATTCCAGTCAAATCATTTATGAATTTTGCTCATGGATAGTAGTTACAAATAATGAGGCTTGTGCATCCCTTTATACAGAGTACAGCCTACAGCCTATGTCAGCTGGTTAATTTGCCGAATCTGTGAGGTCTTTAGACCGCGGTGGAAACGCACACAACAGTGGGCTGAAGGAACCTTTTAGTTCCTTGAGAAGAGATCTGGGGACTTAAGCCTTGAATATGCTGGGGAGCAGATGCTGAATACTTCTGTTTATACAACCTTCTGCAGTCAGCTTGGTGGACACGTTCCACACATGCGCAGTAGATGAGTAGAGTTGGTGCCCTGGTTGCACTAGTTGCTGCGCGGACATGTCCGTGTGGTCACAAAAAATGGGAGGCATGCGTACATCTGCATCTACACGTAACCCGTCTGATGACGTTTTTTTTGTCCTTACTTTAAAAGTCCTGGGTACCTTTGGTCTAAACGTGGCTTGTGGTTACTTACAAAACTAAAATCACTTTTTGTTTCACACAGGAAACAAACATTTAAAAGTACGGTTTCTGGCCTACCCATCCATCCATACACAGACAACTCTCAGCCGTTATCAGCTACAATACCGGCTGCATTTTACACATGGAGCATTTCAGAATAAGAGCATTTTGCCTGCCTAATTTTGCTGATTTGTTCAGATGTCCTTGATTTTTATGCTTCTACCATGATTAAGTAGGCCACATAGTTTAACTGTTTCTTCTTGTCTGTTTTAACTGTTTATTGTTGGTACACGATCGGCAGCCTGCACAGGGTGTTTTATTTTGAAAATCAACCGGAATATCCATGCGGTTGATATATGTCTGACTTCCTGAGTTATTAGGAGCGCAGAGCGACCCGCGTATCCAAGCAGTCTGAAAAGGCCTTTACATGTAAACCCTGTCACAACCATTAGCAAGAAATTAATTTACCACGTGCCAAAACCTTTATCATAAGTTTACAATGGACAATGTTCTTTGCATCTTAGACTGTGACACAATAATGGCAGAAGCTACTTACAGGTGTGGAAAGAACGCCTCGCTCCTTCGCCTTCATTTATTGGCTACAGCGGACATGAACAACATAAGGTCCGGTGCTGCTGACCTGCATTGGGCAGCTCAACTTGGGAAAAGAAAAAAATGTTTTTACACACGTCAGACTGTAGATGTCCTAAATCCTGCCCATTTCACTCGGGCAGTTCCTGTACCCCCCTTTTCTCACATGGTTCACAGCAGTGCGGTTTCTCTCCAGGGTGCATTTTCCGGTCACCTGATGTAGTGAGAGATTTCCCACACTGGTCACAGCTGTACGGTTTCTCTCCAGTGTGAACACGTTGGTGGGTTTTTAGGTGACCTAATTGAGGGAAAGTTTTTCCACACTGTTCACACCAGTACGGTTTCTCACCAGTGTGAACACGTTGGTGGATTTTTAGGTCACCTGATGTCCTGAAAGATTTTCCACACTGGTCACAGCTGTACGGTTTCTCTCCAGTGTGAACACGTTGGTGGATTTTTAGGTGACCTGATCGAGTGAAGGTTTTTCCACACTGTTCGCACCAGTACGGTTTCTCTCCAGTGTGAACACGTTGGTGGATTTTTAGGTGACCTAATTGAGGGAAAGATTTTCCACACTGTTCACACCAGTACGGTTTCTCACCAGTGTGAACACGTTGGTGGATTTTTAGGTCACCTAATTGAGGGAAATTTTTTCCACACTGGTCACAGCTGTACGGTTTCTCTCTAGTGTGAACACGTTGGTGGAGTTTTAGGTGACCTGATCGAGTGAAGGTTTTTCCACACTGTTCGCACCAGTACGGTTTCTCTCCAGTGTGAACACGTTGGTGGGTTTTTAGGTGACCTAATTGAGGGAAAGTTTTTCCACACTGTTCACACCAGTACGGTTTCTCTCCAGTGTGAACACGTTGGTGGATTTTTAGGGCACCTGATGTACTGAAAGATTTTCCACACTGTTCACAGCTGTACGGTTTCTCTCCAGTGTGAACACGTTGGTGGATTTTTAGGTAACTTGACAGAGCGAAAGTTTTCCCACACTGTTCACACCAGTACGGTTTTTCTCCAGTGTGAACTCTCCGATGATTCTTCAAATTTCTAGATGTTGTGAAGGATTTGTCACAGTGCTGACAGCGGTGACATTTGAGTCCCTCTCTTCTTCTCCTTCCCTATATCAGCAGAGAGAAACACAGTAAGTGAGATGTAGATGTGGAGCGAGCTATGTAAAACAATCTAAAAAATCATAAACTATATATAATTAGAACACATCTTTAAAGTTCTATACTAAGGGTTTAACAACACACCAAATCCACAGTTCAGTCCTAGATTATTGAGCCACTGTTCATTCCTTGGATCCACACCCTTAATATTATTATTATAATATTCCATCTTGGCTTAATAAATGTAGTCGAAGTTGCAGGCGTGATCACTCTATGACTGAACCAAAATAAGAAGTCACATGGCACACGCATTTGGAGGACATTAAAATTGGTGTAATATAGGGATGGGGACCTGGTTCCAAAAATTCTCAAAACCCGAAAATCAATAAGGTTCAAGCTTATCGATACTGCTATCGAGACTTACGGGTCCAATTATGTACCGTACATGTCTCGAGCGTCAATTCGGTTTTATTTTGCAATGCAATGGATAAGAAAATCATCTCTGTCCTCAGTATCTCATCCTGTATGTTTTATATAAGCATAGTTAACGCTAGCTTGACATTAGCCAAATGTTAAAAACAAGCTAAATAGAAAGCTTTTGCAGAGAAACAGAGAGAGAGAAAGAATATTAAGCCGACACATTATAAATTTTACAATTTTACTGAGCGACAGCGAACACACCACCAAACTAACGCTAGTTGATCCACATGCGGCGCACTTGAAAACTGAATGGAAAATTACCTAGAAAAACCTACTGTCAATATAAGTACGATACAGGCATACATCGCTACCGCCCCCAGGCCCGCCGTTGGGAATTTAGGACAGGGGGACAACATTTTCCAAACTGGGCCCCTCATCGACACCCAATCCAGCACCACCTCGACCAACCCACCCTTAGTTCTAGTACAAACATGGGCAATTTCAAAGACGCTCTTGGCCATTAGCCTTATAGTGACACAGATGGAGTCTGTGCAGCATTTTTTTTAATCTTTCAAATTAGACTGTGACAGTTATGTTCCTCCATTTAACTTAAAACAAGGAGGAAAAAAATGCCTTTCAGTGATTTGCTGATTAGAGAACAGTAAAAATCAAACATTGAAGAGATAACTGCAAAGCATTAAATCATACAATTTAATTATGAGTGAACAAATACACATACTTCATCTATCAAATTCAACACTGAGGACTACATTCATCAACGTATTGGTCAAATTATGTACTAAACTGAAATACTGTATGAGTACTGTGTCAGGTTTATCACATGTATAGCTTATTATACTGTAACCATGTTTGCAGCTGTATCCTCTGACCTGTGATGTGCTGCTGACTAGTGTTTACTGTAGGTCTGTTTTCTTGCGGGTGTTACAAATCTTTATCAATATAAAGGGAAACACAAAATTCAGGTGGCAGATGATGATTCAAAATATAATAGAATATAATGCAGTGAAGCTCTCAGGCTGTCTGTGTTGCTTTTAGATATAGATATCTTTTGTCCTGTAGTTTAACTTTTACAAGGTTGTTTATTCGTCATTATACAACACAAGGCTGCTGTATAACGAAGCAAAAGTTTGTAGTCCCTTCATGCTGCGCACACAGAACCTAACAATGAATATATTAATATTTGAATACACATTAAATGTGTATGTTTTAATGCTAATAATACATTTATCTATCATGTAAATACATAACACAAGTGTCAAACTTGATCACATTTAAGGGTTAACCATAGACCTTTGTTTGGGCCGGTATCATCTGTACCCTTTGACCCCCCTGATGGCGGGCCTGACCGCCCCCACCAGCCGCCGCAGTTACACTGTCTAATGAGAGTCCGGGAAGCAGGTGTCACGATGAAGAAAGTAAGTAAAGCATATCACCACAGAACTTCCCCAGTTAATGACTTACATCGAGTATTTTCCCCTGAAATGTTCTGTGTAAATATGCAGATTAGCTTGTTTTGGTTAATTTAGATGAAATCTGCAGATGCAAAAAGGTGGAGGGTAACAGTCTTAAAACAAACACCATCTAAAAAGGTGTTTTATGTCCATTAGAGTAAAAGAAGACATGGACCAAAGACTCAAAATTGACTCGGTTTCAAAATTGGTTGGCTCCACATCTAATAACTCTCCATTCTATTATCCAACGAAGTTTAGAGTCAAGGGCAACTGGACTTGGTTGAAGATACTGGAAGACGTTTCGTCCCTCATCCAAAGGACTTCTTCAGTTCTGACTGACTGGCAACCTCAGCTGAGATTTTGAGAGTTTGTATTAGAACTAAAGGTAGGTGGGGTGTCGACGAGGGGCCCAGTTCGGAAAATGTTGTCCTCCTATCCATAATTAATGGCTGGCCTGCATGTACAGTACTGTTTACTGAGCTAACTAGCTAATGACAGAGCCTACAGAGATCTAACACTAATACAGGTCACTGCATCAGTTAGAGTCTCTGGTGAGAAAAAGGCACCGTGGAGGAAAGTCCCACAGAACAAACTTCAGAAGAGGATGTGTTGAAAAGCTGAGCAGCAGTGGAGGAAAACTAAACTCCAGACTGACTCTGATCTCTACAAAGAGTCTCCACAGATACTATTTAGAGCTGAAACCTGCACGACGATCATTCAGAGAACAATAATGCAGGCAGACTGTTTGTCACTGAGAGAAACTCACCAACACACGAGCAAATATAATGACTCTGCTTCATTTTCACCATCATTGTTTGTTCTGCGCGCTCCCGACACAACGCGGGCCGCACCGCGCATGCGCCGCGCGGGAAAACCCACAGCACAAAGAAAAGAGAAACGCCATCTTGAAGATGAAAACAGGAACCACGGAGACACTTTGGAAATCAAACCACGTCAACACAAACCCTGGAGCGGGTTTTCAGGCTCTGATCTCTAACAACAGAATGAACGGATGATACACGGACCCTCGAGACTCTTCCTCGTGTCTTTAGTCTCGTGATGAAGTCATGAACACTGACCTGAACATCGGCGCTATCAGAGCACGAGGCTGCTGTTTGGCTCCTGCGGTCCGGGTTCTGGTTCTCCATCGTCCTGCAGGTCTCCGCTGTGACTGGTGGACCGTGTTGTCCTGGACTGAGTCTGGATTCTGGTCTCGGAGCTCTTCAGGCTGAGATACAGGAGCGCTGCGGGATCCCGCGGAGTGTTCTCGCGATGTCACGGCGTCTCGCCCCGCCCCTTAGTTACTGTCGCTAAGGCCGTTTAGAAACATGGCTCCTTGATTTCAGGCAGAAGATGAAGTTTAGTTAGTTGGTTTCCTGAAACCAGCTGATCATATTTGATGTGTATGAGGGAGTGTGCTTCACACAGAGCAGAGTTTTAATGAAGCGCTTGTTATTATCACATCAGAGGCTCATGAAAATATCCTGCTGAAGCTTTTTGTACAACAAAGACAGAAATAACTTCATGTGTTACATTTAATGTTGAATTTACAGGAAGGCAGAATCATTAAGAATTAGTCGTAGACAGCGTTTCACAAAGTTTCTAAAGTGTCCTCTAACTCAACAAGTCACTAAACTGCACGATTGTTGAAGGGAGTCTGGGACTTTCTCCCCGGGCCACAAAGGAGTAGCTATATTACGGTTACTGTTTAAATGGTGAAATCAGATGAAACAGTTTGTTCACAAACATCTGCTGCTTCTCTCGGCAGCTAAGAGAGTCCAAACACATCATTAACATCACAGTGAAGCTGTTTGTTCACTTAACGGGCCATCGTGTGTTTGTCCAGGTCGGCTCTCTATTCAAATGGGGATCAGCTGCTTGAAAAGGCGACTGATGCGCATTTTCACCTCTCTTCAGGTGATCAGCTTGAATAGGAGGCAGAGAGCTGAACATGTGGACATCAGCTGGCTATTCAGCTGCATTAATGAGCAGCCCAAACAGATGCAAACACAAAGCCACTGAAGGAAAACTGTGTGTTGTGAATGTAGCCTGCAAACCTCTTTAGTCTCCGTTAATACAGAAGAAATTAGAAATATAACAACAACATGTTAATGTGATGCTCACTTAATAAATAAATACTGGTAGTTGGGAATAATATTTGGGGAGGATCTCTTCTCTGTGGAAGTGGTGGGTATTAAGGCAAAGAGTACAAATATACAAACAGAGCAACACATACTTGATAGGCCTATAAATGTTCAAATGTTTTCCCCTCATCTTGTTGGTTTAATTTAACCTTATTGAAGCTTCAGCAGCTGCTGGGAAACATCCTGTCCAAAAACCATGGCCTAAACACAGAGCAGTGGACTGTGGGTTGTCACACATTGCTTGATGTGTCAGTGTGTTTTTGTGAGTCGGGTGTGGCTGCAGCCTGGAGCCTCCCGTCTCATGCCCTATTGTCTCATGCCCTGTTGTCTCATGCCCTATTGTCTCATGCCCTGTTGTCTCATGCCCTATTGTCTCATGCCCTATTGTCTCATGCCCTATTGTCTCATGCCCTGTTGTCTCATGCCCTATTGTCTCATGCCCTATTGTCTCATGCCCTATTGTCTCATGCCCTGTTGTCTCATGCCCTATTGTCTCATGCCCTGTTGTCTCATGCCCTATTGTCTCATGCCCTATTGTCTCATGCCCTATTGTCTCATGCCCTATTGTCTCATACCCTCCCGCCTGGTGCTTTCCGCTAGTTTCTGCGTTTCAAAATAAAAGCTTGGTCTGGTTCACTATTTCTACCTCGTACTTAATATTTTTAAACAGAATAGTAACGGCAATCATGCGCTTGAATAAAATACTTTATAAAATATCTGTCTATAAGATAAATGCAGACTATCATGCTAATGAATAAAAATACTTAAAAATATGTCCCTATTTAAGATAAATCCAAATGGTAGACAGACTAAAAATCTGTTCTGTGATCGTTTTATATTGTATTCCAGCAATCTGGTAGAAAGATTGTTTTAAACGTAGTATCAAGGTCGAAATCGCGAATTACCGGATGTGTGTGTTACACACTCCTCTACAGTAGTTGGCAGTATGCACCTAAATGTTGTTTGCAACCCG